TTTGGGTACTAACCCTTTATCTGATATGTCATTTGCAAATATCTTCTCCCATTCTGTCAGTTGCCTTTTAGTTTTGCTGATTGTTTCCTTCACTGTGCAGAAGCTTTTTATTTTGATGAGGTCCCAGTAGTTCATTTTTGCTTTTGTTTCCTTTGCCTCCGGAGATGTGTTGAATAAGAAATTGCTGCGGGCAAGATCAAAGAGGTTTTTGCCTGCTTTCTCCTCAAGGATTTTGATGGCTTCCTGTCTTACATTGAGGTCTTTCATCCACTTTGAGTTTATTTTTGTGTATGGTGTAAGAAAGTGGTCCAGGTTCATTCTTGTGCATTATTTCTCACTTTTTCAGACTCATGCTCACCATAAAGGCAATCAAATCAACTTTTTAGGAGTTTATGAGTTAATTACATATGTAAGAGTATCTGTTATAAATAGGTGGTTCTCACTATAAAGTCATCAGACTTAGAAATGGCCCAGAAGTATACTGGCATTATTACTTCTAGACTCCCCTCACATGGGAGCCATTTAGGAAACTCAACAGGTTTACAAACTGAAGAATAATACAATTTAAATGGAGAAGTAATTTGCGATTTTAACCCTGGGAATAGATTCCCAGGTAAAACTGCCCTACCTACATAAGCCATGAAAGTGAATCAAAATATCCTCCCTTACGTTGCATTATTTTATTTCCTTTTCACTTTATTATCCTGTTTAACAGTTCTTTGAACTTTGGGCATCTTTTTTTTTAATTTAAAATAAGTTTTGTTTTCTTTTTTTTGTTTGAGAGAGTGTGAGAGGCAGAGTGGGGGAGGGGCAGAGAGAAAGGGAGACAGAATTTGAAGCAGGCTCCAGGCTCTGAGCTGTGAGCACAGAGCCCGATGTGGGCCTTGAACTTGTGAACTGCGAGATCATGACCTCAGCTGAAGTTGGATGCTCAACCACCTGAGCCACCCAGGCGCCCCAAACTTTGGGCATCTTGATTTAAAAGTACCAGTGATTCTGGTGGTATATGTACCACCACGCTGATGACTTGGGTAGTCTTAGGTAATTCTTTTAACTTCTTTGGGACTGAGTTTCATTTTTTTCAAAGTTGAAATAATAGCTGCCTCATTCTACGTACAGTTGGGAAATATTAAATGAAATTATAATTATCAGAAAGTTTGAAAAGTATAAAATACAGTGTGAATAGTTACAAATATGGAAGAGATTTTTGTAAATTTCATTGTTGGAGTTTTTTGGTTTTTTTCTGAGTGGTACATATATTATATGCATGAGGATTGTGTTACACTCTTTCTCTAAAAGGAAAGTGGGAAATGTGTATCTTCTGGAGTAGCTCAAATAAGAATTTAAGGTTGAAATTATTATTTTTTTTTTAGATAAATTAACTTTGAAGATTCCTTGGAAAAACCTTTATGGAGAAGCAGTTGTTGCGACCCTAGAGGGACTCTACCTGCTTGTTGTCCCTGGAGCAAGTATGTTGTTTTAGATTATAACCACTCAGTAACAGCACAGTGAAATTAAATTATTACCTTGGCTAAATATTTTAATATGTTTAATAAAATAGAAGATACTTTATTTTTTTTTTTTTTAATTTTTTTTTCAACGTTTATTTATTTATTTCTGGGACAGAGAGAGACAGAGCATGAACGGGGGAGGGGCAGAGAGAGAGGGAGACACAGAATCGGAAACAGGCTCCAGGCTCTGAGCCATCAGCCCAGAGCCTGACGCGGGGCTCGAACTCACGGACCGCGAGATCGTGACCTGGCTGAAGTCGGACGCTTAACCGACTGCGCCACCCAGGCGCCCCAAAATAGAAGATACTTTAAACTGATTATATATATGGATATGCACACATGTATATGTATATGTACATTTTACATATACACACATACATATTGCCACATTTTATATAAAATATTTTTATGTTACTGCTGGAAAGAATAATTCCAACCATTTGATAATTTTAATCTCTTCTCTGAATAATTATTTTGCAACTAAGGCTTCATTTTAAGTTCAGATGCATTGAATAATTTACTTTTGGAGAATGAGATGAAATAAGTTTTTAAAAATGTACTGATGTATTAAGCTACAGATTTCAAGAATGGAAAATTTCCCCCCCTATTTTGTTGCTTCTGGTTTTGAGTGAGTGTTCATTCAAAAATGCATGTGAAAAAGGTAGATTATTTTTAATTGTAAATAATAGTATTTTAATTTTTAATGAATGTTGTAAAGCAATATTTACTTAAGTCATACCTTTTGTTATGATTGTTTCTTTTTCAGTTATAAGAACAATAGAATGTTAAGAAAAGTTTGGACATTTTAGGGAAAAATTACTTGTTTTCCCAACCAGAAAGCAAACACAATTTTTATTTTTATATTTTGCTTTCTGTTCTTTACTATATACATACTCAATTTGATAGAGTATTTATCACATTTTATATATATAACATGGATCTGGCTTTTTAATTAGTGTATATATTTTTGATATGGGATAGTGATAATTTTGAAAGTCTATAGGATAT